ATTGGCTGTTCTCCCGTGCACACTCTTCCCCCCCTCCTGGGGTTTGTACTCAGTCTCCTTCCTTGGCCTTGCACTTCCTTGGGACTGTGTTGGCTGGTCTCTGATGGGATCTGCCCACTGTTCTGCTCTTCATGTCTCCAGAGCATTGAGCCCGTACAACTCACAACCAGAGTTTCAGCCTGGCCGAGATGCTACCTCCTGCAGGAAGCCCCCTTAGATTGCCCCAGGAGAGTGGATGAACCCTAGTCCTCCCACCCCTTTCTGGCTCCAGCATTTGTGGGGTACCTGTAAGATCACAGGTGACATCCACTCACTCTTTGTAACCCGAGTGGTCCCCACGTGGTTATCTCACTGTGAACTCCGCAGGCTTGGAGTCTCTGCTGAATTTCCTGAATACCCCTGCTAGCAGCTACTCCCAGAAACTTTGGTTTATTTTGGAAAGGCAGTTACAGAGAGAGGGGAGGAAATACAGAGACAGAGATCTCTCATCCAGGGCTTTGCCAAACCAAAGCAAGAGCTGAGAGCTCCTTCTTGCATCTGCCACATGGGTGCGGAGACCCAAGCACTTAGGGCAGGATCCAAGTACTTGGACCATCCTCTGCTGCTTTCTCAGGCACATTAGCAGGAAACTTGGATCAGAAGTAACTCGAACTAAAACTCATGTGATGCCTATAGCGTCAGCTTAACTTACAGCACCCCTTCAGTCTTGTCAGGATGGTCACACGGGTTGTCACGAACTCGGCTGATCTGTGCATGTGTGGATTTAGGCTGTCCTGGGAACCTCCACCAAGCACATCTCAGGTGTAACAAGCCCCTGCCCCCACACTGCCAGGGGAGGAGTTTGGGCAACATCTCCATCAGACCCTGGGCTCCCGTCCTAGTGCCTGCTGAGGCCTGAGTTTCTGGAACATGGGCTGGAGAAGAGAATGTTGGGTGCACCGTAGCAGGTGTGTGGAGGACTGGGTGTCATGCCCTCAGTGTCCGCCTGCAGAATGTGCTGCCCAGCAGACGGCCACTCCCCCCCTCCAAACAGTGAAGTAATCCCTGGGAACCAGCATGATGGCATAGCAGGTAATGCCGCCAACCTGCACTGGTTCAAGGCCTGGCTGTTCCACTTCCTATCTTGCTCCCTGCTAATGTTCCTAGAAAAGCAGCAGAGGATGGTTCAAGTGCTTGGATCCTCCCACCCTGTTCCTGGCTCCTGGCTCCTGGCTTCAGACCGATCCTGTTGTGATCTCCTGGGGGAGTGAACCAGTGGAGGAAAAAATCTCTGTGTAACTGTTTTCCAGTACTTCCCACTCGAAAGCAGGTTTATTTTGAGAAGGAGAGAGAGAGAGAGAGACAATTACACTGGCCCTGGCTAATCTCCAAAAAGGAAAAGTTGGTAGTGAGAATGAGCCAGAATGCAGGCCACGTGGGGACAGGGCCACTCTCCAATGTCTTCCAGAAGAGTTTGCCCTGCAATTCTGTGGCAGGTTGAGCGCCCCCCCCCCACGCTTTCTGAAAAGTACTTTCAAATTCTGGGTTTTTTTTTTTTTTCCCAGTGGCTGTGTGAAAAACATGGCATGTTAACCATTCCACCTACAGAACAGGGAAAGCCAGCAGGTGGGGATGAGACTGAGTTTCATCCAGGGGAGCCTTGGGCCTGGTTCTGGGTGCAGGCGTATGGGAGTGAGTGGGAAATGACCCCTGTCCCACCTGGCCCGGAGAAACTGATGCCCAGGGCAACCAGCCCAGTGCCACGTGGGGACTGCACCCTGCTGCACAGCATCAGTAACCCCACCCATGGCGCTGTGATCCCAGTGGGTGGCAGGCTTCTGGGCCCAAGGGCAGGGTTGGCGTGTTCGGACTGTGTGCTGGGCGGATCTAGCTTTGGAGAGTCAGCGACCGTGTAATCTGGGCATCAGGTAGCAAAAACATGTGCGGGAGCCCCAAGAGCCCTGGGGAGCAGTGAGAAAGGAATTTATCATCCTCACGCTCTTCCTGGCCCCACCGCATCTTGCCAAGAGTGCTGGGATGCAAGGCGTGACCCCTGCCTGCCTGACAACGCAAGAGAGTCAGAAAGAATGAACCTCCTGTGTTACTCCCAGCACTGTGGGCTTTAACCACCTGTCACCCACAGCGACCAAGAGCAGCAGCAAAACCTCCTGTTCCCTAACTGGTCTGGGATTCAGGTGTCAGCCAGGCCACACCCCCTGAGGGAGGGGACAGGAAGAAACTGCTCTCCTCCTCCCCTTGACCCCCAGCCTCTGGCGCCTAACTGTCCCATCTCACTTGGCCCTCTGGTCTCCTGGGTTTGATCTCTCTCTACCTGCCTCTTCTTAGCAGGGCTCAGCTGGGGCCAGAACGATGGTTCAACTGGCTAATCCATTAGAGATGCCTTTCTTTGGCTCTGGTTTTTTGGTTGGAGGATCCCTTTGAAATCTGTGCCCCGAATCCTTGTCGGTGGTCCAAAACACGATGTAGGGGAGCAGTTCTCCCTGTGGACCCAGTCGGACTGTGGGGTGGTGCTGAGGGTCAGCAGGGAGATGAGGAGCTGAAGCTGTCCTGTTCCGAGGTGTTGGTCCTCCCCATCGCAATCCCCTCTCCCTCCCACCGAAGCCTCACTTTCCAAGAACCCCCATGTGTTTGCCAAGGTCAAAGTCATGTGCACAGATACTGGTTGGTCTCACCACCTGCTGTGTGAGTGACTTTGGCCGAGGGACTTGGTCTTGCTCATTTGTAGAATGGATTTACTTAGAGGAATTTTTATTTGGATTTGAAGAAGAAACACATGCATTTGGTTTCATTTGTAAACAAATGCTACCTTTCGATAGAAAGACTTATTTCTACCCACATAATGTAGAGAGGCTGAAAGAGAGGCACACACACACAGAGATCTTCTATCCACTGCTTCACTCACTCCCCAGTGCCTGCAAACCAGAGCTGAAACTGGGGGCCTGGAGCTCTTTCTGGGTCCCACACAAGATGGAGTGACGGACAGGAACCTGATTCCTGGAGCCCTCACCTGTGAATCCCCCATGCACATGAGCAGGAAGCAGAGTCAGAAGCAGGATAGCTGGATTGGCACCCTCACCATCCTATGGAGGTGGCCATCCTGAGGACTGGTGCCCACCCTGAGTGGCAGAAGGGAGCAGGTGCAGTGAATCCCTGTGATGCTGGCATCCCACGTGAGCCTTAGTTCCATGCAGGGCTGCTCCCCTTCTGATCCAGCAACTGGGGGAGCAGCAGAAGATGGCCCAAGTGATGGGCCCCTGCCCATCCATGTAAGAGATCCAAATGAGGTTCTAGGCTCCTGGTTTTAGTCTGGCCTGGATCTAGTCATTATGGCCATTTAGGGAGTTGACTAGGGGTTAGAAGATCTCTTTCCCTGTCCCCTCTCTGTGTATCTTACTCTCTTTAACTCTGCCTTTCCAATAAATAGACAAGTATTACTTAAATACTTATTTATTTATTTATTTACTTAGTTACTTATTTTGGAAAGTGACAGTTACCCAGAGAGAGCAAAAGAGAGAGGTCTTCCATCTGCTGGTTTACTCCCTAAATAACCATCAGGGCTGGGCAAGCCAAAGCCAGCAGCCAGAAGCTTTCTCTGGGTCTTCCATGTGGGTGCAGGGGCCCAGGCACTCAGGCCCTCCTCTGCTACCTTCCCAGGAACATTAGCAGAAGTGCAGCCATCAGAACTACAACTGGCACCCATATCGGATGCTAGCACTGCTGGTCCTGATAGATAGATAGATAGATAGATAGATAGATAGATAGATAGATAGATAGATAGATAGGTAGATAGATAGATCTGTCGATATTTGGGGGAAAAGATTGTCTAGTTCATAAAAAATAAGGAATGTCAGAGAAGCTGTCACAGCTTGGGGTTGCCTGAGGAGACTTGACGACTAATGGAAGCCCAATTAAGGCATGGACTTCAGCTACCCATGTGTCATTGCTCATTTCCTGGTTGTAGTTTATATTGCAAATGGAAGATGTGGGCAGTAGGGGCAACTGTTATGTATTAGTGGGGAGTCGTGTTGTCTAAACCTACTCTGAAGGCCAGTTGGGTAGCAGGCGTGTAGTCTTGTGTCTCCTGACCCCAGCTTCCTGCTATTGTAGACTTTGGGAAGACGGCACTAATGGCTTAAGTCACTGGATTCTGGCTACCCACGTGGGAGTCCTGGATAGAGTTCCTGGCTCCGGCCCTGGCCTAGCCCTGACTATCACAGGTGTTCATTAGGAGACTCACCGGAAGCTCTCTCTTTCTGTCTCACATAACAACCAAGACAGAAGAAATTGAGGAGGGCACTGATTAAAACTGGAGTGATCTCAGCCTTGGCAAGCCAGGCCTGGCTAAGTGTATGGGCAATGCCAAGGCCTGCTGGGGCTGTCATGCTCCCTGTGTCACGTTCTCAGGAATCAAAGATTGTTGCAAAATGAGAAGTTTGGTTTTTGTTGTTTTAGTGAAAGAAGGCAAAATTCAAAACTCATCTTGCTTCCTGGTCTTTTCTCCATACTTTTTCATGCGGTCAAGTGCAACCTCTTGGGGTCTGGCTTGGGATGTGTCTCTTTGGATCCCAAATCTGGCACTTGGCCTGTTCTTTCTCGTGTCTTGTTAGGAGTGCAAGCTCTTTTCACTTACCCATGGGTTTCACACTTTTGTGTTCTGTTCTCCTGGCACGCTCTCAGTGTGTTAACCTGTGCCAGGATCTGAGCAGGCACAGGGGAAAGCAACTTGGACTGTGTGTGGCATGTGGCTGGGGAGGCCTGTGCTCTGACTCACCTCAGCCTGGGTGTGCAGGCAGTCCTGATGGATGGGTGACCACACCAGTGTACACATGGGTGCCCGCTTCTCTGAGCTAACCCTTTATGTGTTCAGACTCTTGTTTGCAGGTGCCCCAGGGATGTCAGTGTGTGAGGCCCAAGAGCCACCTATCTTTGGGCTGTGTGTCCCTGATGGGGTCCCCTGTGTGTGTTCCTCCTTCTGAGAGCAGCACCTTCTGTCTTTGTAGGCCTCCTACCGTGAGCGGCAGCCCCGTCATCTCCGACCTCTCCTTGATCCGACTGTCCCCACACCCTGCCGGGCCTGGCGAGTCCCCCTTTAGCGCACCCCACGCGTACATGAATCCCCACGTGGAGCACTACCTCCGTTCTGTGCACAGCAGTCCCACGCTCTCCATGATCTCCGCGGCGAGGGGCCTCAGCCCTGCAGATGGTGAGTAGGGTCTGGGGACCTCAGGAGAGACTGCTGAGACCTTGTGGCTAGGTACAGAGGGCAGCCCAGTCGCTCTGTGCCCCTGGTTGGCTTCACTCACTCCGTGCACAACCCCTGACCCCTACTGCAGGCTCTAAACAACCATAGTGAAAGCCAAGAGACTCGAAGCCTGTTGGTTTTATGTTCATCAGAAAGGATTTACCGTGGTACTAAAGGCAGGTCCTAGGGAGCTATGTCTTAGCACAAGAATCATGGTGCAATACACTGTGCAGAAGGGTGTGAAGGAACAGCAGTGATGTGTAGGAGTGCAGGGGTGTCTCTTGGGCACCCTCTTGAAGCAGCAGGAAGGCTGAGCAGCACTGGCTTTTACTGCCATCTCTGTCTGCTGGGACCCTTATGGGCCAACCCTGGTAGCTTCCTGTGACCTTGTGTCTTTCTGTGCAGATCTTGAGAGAGAGAGAATGGGTCCAGCTCAGTCTTCAGATGGCCACCCCCTGGTCTGATTAGCTTGGGCCAGAGAGAAGCCTCATCATCACCCCCAGATCTGCTGAGCATTTAGAAGAAAAGGTGGGGGTCTGTGCAGGTGACAGTGAGTTAGGGCTCTGGTGTTGAAATTGTCGTGATTATCTGTGCAGACCCCGATTCTGCACAATGACAAGTGTCATCCAGGGGGCACAACCATGTGGAGTCAGAGGAAGAGAGGAGGGAGGGTCCTGGCCATACCCATGATGGCAGCAAATGCCAGAAGCTGTAGGAGGCAAGGAAGGGACTCTCTTTGAGCAGGTGCAGGGGGCGTGGCCCCACAGCATCTTGTGGCTGAGAGCCCCAAAGGGGACCTGGGTATTTTACATGACTCCTGCACAGGGTAGATCAGATACCCCCAAGGCTATCAGCCATTTGCAGACTGTGTACATACTGTAGCCCAAATTGGAGCTTTATGGAAGACTTCCAGGGGGAAGGACAGGCAGTAGCCAGAGCGTGGCCAGCCTGGCTAGAGGCCTGGGCTCTGGGTTCAGGGGGCAGTAGAAGTGGGAAGCAGAGTTCAGCAGCTTCCTCACACTGCTTGCTTCTCTGTGCTGGGCATGCTCCAATTCTCACTGGGCAGAGACTGCAGCAGAGGGGGCTGTGCAGCTCAGTAGGAGCTGGCTGTTTAGATTGAGTCCAGCCACGAGCCCTATGCCAGCTTTGCCAACACCAACTGTGTGGAGCCAACAGTGATGGCTCCACATCAATACAGGGATATTGTGGTTACAGGAGGAATGTGTGTGCCCTACTTCTGGGCGTGGTGCAGACAAGCATGTGCTTGGGACAGCCTCGGTGGTCACTGTCCTACTCCATGATCTTATAGGTGAGGACCTGAGGCAGCTTGGGGCAGTGTGTTGGGGGTGGTGTACCAGCCTGGCTTGGTACCCCTTGGAGGAGCCACACCTCTTACTGCGTGTGTTGAAGGTCTAAGCTTCTGCTTGGTCCCAGACCCCCAGCTTCCAGTCCCTGTCGAGTGCCCAGGCCTCCTCAGATGCTCTGAACCTCCTCATTTCTGCCTCTTTCCTGGGCAGACTGAGGCAGCAGGTACACACTGTAGGCATGGAGCCTCCGCTGGCCAGGCCCAGCCAGTCCTCTGCATGCAACCCCATCCTGAATGTCCACACAGAGCCTGGTCTGGCCCCAAGATCTTGCTGACCTGAGGGGTCTGGGCTTCTGCCAGACGAGTGGATGGAGGGGGAAGCTCTGTTTATGTACCTGGCCAGGCTCGGGTCTCCCGTGTCAGCAGCACCCCCTCAGCTGCCAGTTCAGGGCAGATATGGGGGTCCTGAGAAGAGCCCCCTCCCCTGGCTAGGTGCAAGCAGCTTCTATGCTAATGGCTTTGTTCTCTTGCCTTCTACCTGCAGTGGCCCACGAGCACCTGAAAGAAAGAGGGCTATTTGGCCTCCCCGCCCCTGGTGCCAACCCCTCTGACTATTACCATCAGATGACGCTCATGGCCGGCCACCCCGCGCCCTATGGGGATCTGCTCCCACAGACCGGGCCTGCAGCTGGCACACCACATCTCCATGACTACCTCAACCCAGTGGAGGGTGAGTGCCTAACCAGTGGGAAGGAGGCATGGCCACTTTGTGGGGGATGGGGAGGAGGATGCCTGGGGCGTGGACACTCAGGGGGTTGTTGGCTCAGGGAGCCAGGGGCCTCTGGAGAAGTCTCAGCCACAGCTGCTGCGCACAAGGGGAGACAACCTTGGGATTTTGCTTACGTGCTGCCCACCACTGGGAGCAGAACACGCACCTGTCTTAGTGACGCTCATCCCTCGTGAGAGACAGATACCACCCAGCTGCAGGAAGCTCCAGCCAGGGGAAATAACCCGAATACAAACACAAGAAACCAGAAACCCTCCCAGATCTGACCTTGGAGCTACAGGTGGAGACATGAAGCTGCAGGTGCCAAGTTGCTAAACTCAGTCATTAATAAAGTCGCTCCAGGCTGGGTACCTCAAGTGTCTGGGTACCTCAAGGGAGTTCCCTGGTTCCTTGTGTCCCCTCCCCCCCATCAAGGTTTCTTAACCCACTGCCCATTTCTTACTTTACTGGGTTCAAAAGCAGGTCTGCCCTGGAGTGGGGCTGTGTGTGTATGTGTGTGCTGTGTGTGTGTGAGAGAGAGGATATTTGCCCATGAGTGGGGAAAGACACTGCTAGGCTGGGAAAACAGCTGTGGGTACCCAGGCAGCCCTGCAAGGGTGTGGGAATCGGGGGGAATAAGGTATCCTCATCTGAGGGATCCCAGAACGATGGGGAGGTGACCTGGCTGCCGCACCACACCTGCCCACCCTTTGTCTCCACAGCCAGCTTGGGAGCTTCACCAGCCACAGGACACAGCGGGTAGCCGTGCCAGGCTGCTCTGGAGTTGCTCGAGCAGGAATATCAGTTTCCCAGGTGCACATGGGTACGGGGTTCCTCTTAACCATGGCTGGCAGGAGTGGGGTTCAACACTCCCCACCCCAGGAAATCAGAGTGCTTTAGTGTGCTCTATTCTCTGTATAACTCACTGTTTCATACGGTTTTGGCACACCAGTTTAGACTAGACCCAGAATCTTTTGCTGCCATTTCTGAAGCTGCTCCAGGCACTTCTGCTGCAGCACCTTCTCTGTGGGTGTGTTGCTCTTTCTGTGGGTGTGTTACTCCTCCCTGAGAGGCAATGGAGCACAGTGCCCACGCCATTGCCTGGCTCAGTCTGAGCCTACATCTGGGGTGCCTCCGGGTCTATCTCCTCCCTTCCCAGGAACCCCAAGAGCCAGGAAGACCCTGCCAGCCCTGATTTGGCACAGGTGCCAGCTAAGTACCTGTGCAGAGAGACCCTCCTGGGAAGTTTCCATCCTCCCAGTAGAGGATGACAGTGGATTCTTCATCGGGCTTCTTCTCAGGGATCTCAGCTGGCACTGGGCCAGGGTCCTGTGGTCTCTCTGAAGACACTGCCCAACAAATGACCTTGAACACTCAGCCAGTATGCACGTGCAAGATTTTATGGGAAGACACAGAAAAGTCAGCAGGCACAGCTTCCGCCCCTTCTCTGTCTCTCACACCGACACACACTCCTTCCCTTGGCATGTGCTTTAGTGAGCACCTAATCAGTGCCAGGACAAGCTGTCAGTGCCACGGATGCCCTATGCTCCTTAGCAAGTTGCAGGAGTCACCCGGCCATCCTGGCTACTCCAGCCTGCTTTTTCAACCCCTGCCTTTATGTTTTGAGAGGAGAGGGCGCTGTCAGAGAGATGATTCCAGAAGCTTTGAATGTCTCCTGTTCCCACTGGACAGAGCCCCCACAAGACGCTCCCAGGGGTCCTGACCAAGCATCAGCACACATTCCCCTCCCTGGCCAAGTTCCATCTGCTCAAGTTTAAAGGCCAGTCATAGATCCTGAACAGACTGGAGCACTCGGGTTCATGAATCTGAAAATGCAACTTGGCATATTTTTTCCCCTGAAGAAGAAACTCACTCATCTCTAAGGAGGACGTCCCTCGGGGGCTTGTCCACTCTCTCCAGCCCCATGTGGTCCCTAACTGCCTCCTCCCCTTGTTCTTAAAGGGGTCCAAATAGTTGCTGGAAGCCAAGGAGTGATATTCTCTGGGAAGTTCATGGGTGTTCCTCTTGGGGGGGGCGTCGCGGGGAATCCACCAAGTGTCCTACAGGGCCCTACCTGAACCCCAATCATTCTGCTGTACCCTACCCCCACTGCAGCACGTGGACAAGATGAAGTTTGCCACTGAAATTGCTGGCTGTGCACCACCCGTATTTCCTCCATGCGTATGTTTTATTGTCATATTGACACTAATTTGACTACGATGTCACTTCCATTCTGATGCCTGTTCTTTAATGCTCAGCCTGCAGATCCGGTCTTGTGTTTTGTTTTTTTTGTTGTTGTTGTGGTTTTTTTTTTTTTTTTACGCCAACCAATTACATTGATCAAAACAGAGAGGCAGGAAGAGCCTAGGCCCAGTTGGAACAGCAGAGCCCAGGTCTCTGGTTTGGCTGTATATAAGACCCTGGGCTGGGTGTGCTGAGATCATCTGGTCAACCCATACAGAGCCAGCTTTGGAATTCCTTGTCCCAGTTAGGAATGCTGAGGCCAGTGCTGTTTCTGCAATTTTTTCCAAATGGGCAGGGAATGCTACTCCTACAGCTCCTGGCATACTAGCCTGGTTTTTTCTGATCCCTCGCAGAGGGACTGCAGGGAACAGCCCAAGTGGGACGGGTGCAGGTTGCCCAAGGAGATGTCCAGAGAGCCACTCCACCATGAGTCCAGAAATATACAGACAGGGATTAAGCTGCAGTTGGAATGCACCTTAGCAGACATGGACATGGCTCTGGAGCTCCGCCCCAGGCCCGTGCCACTGTGCTAGGGGGAAGGCTCCCAGGACCTTGGGCCAGGACAGAGCTCCCACCTGCTGGCCTTAACACAGGTAGATTCCTGGTGCTGCAGATGTATTTTGCCCTGTCTTCTGCACCAGGAGCCAGATCAGAGGAGCATGCCAGAGCTGGCCAGTCCGCAGTGGATCAGAGGCACAGAGCTTGGCACCTACCCTTGCTGTTGCTCGCCCATCCCCCCACCTTGAACCGTGGCAACTTCCCTCCTGGCCTCTTGGAGATTTTTTAGGGGGATCCCACTTAAAGTGGCTCCCTGAAAGTCCTTCCCGGTGCTGTGGGTACTTGATCCACGTTCCAAGCAGATCATAAGCCCCAAGAGGACATAGTTCATTCTTGCTTAGTGCCCACAAGGTTCCAACCAGAGCCTGGCACCCTCTCATTGCACTCAAGGTTATGGCATATGAAGGAGTAAGCAGTAAAACTGAGCAGACGGCACAGGGTTCCGAGGCAGTGCTGGCATCGGGCAGGTGGGGGCAGCAGGTGCCCCACTCACCCCCAGGTGGCTGGCTGGTTGACATCGGAGCGGGCACATTCACAGATGGATGGATGCCGTGGCTCCACCCACCCCCAGTTGTAAATCACAAGAGGAACCTCGGGAAATGAGTGCCAGGCTTCTGTTTCTGTTGAGTCATTTATCAAGGGAAGAACGCATTAATAAGCATATTTCCCAGCGGGGTGGGAAGAACAGAGATGAATGTCACTGTCAGATTTGGCCTGCTTCCGCTTGTTAGGGGTGCCCGAGAGGGCCGCTGTCCAACAGTGAGCAGCCAGATCCTTTTACCAAAATGTGTGTGTGTGTGTGTGTGTGTGTGTGTGTGTGTGTGTGTGTGTGTGTGTGTGTTGTGTGTGCTTCTCGGGTCCTTTTCCTTTTCCTCCTTACAGGTCCCCATGTGCCTGCAGGGTGTGCTACCTCACTTACAAGCACCAGGAGCCTTTCCTAAGATGTGTTTTTGTATCCACGCTTCCTTTGAAGTGAGGGGAGCTCTGTTACCCACCACAGGCTCCCTGTCCATCTCAGCAGCCCCTGCACAAGCCGTGCTCACAATCCTGTCCCTCTGGGACAAGTGTCGCCATGGGCAGCAGCTGGAGTCAGGAGTGGGGGCCTAAGAGTATGGGATGAAAGCATTGAGCCTCTTGGCCCAGTGCCATGCTGCCAGGGAATGTCATGATCAGGCAGAAAGGGGCTTTGAACCCTTAATTCATGGAGGCGAGTGATAGGAACAAGCAGGTCACCGCACAGGTTGCTGTATACCCCCGCTCCTGTGCAATCCTTGTTTGGAAACAGGGCCCTCAGCATTGGGTAGATCGGTCCCACTCAGTAGATGGAGTTGGGGAAGGCTTCCTGGAGGAACTGGTGAGTCGGAGCCCAAAAAGCAGGCAGAGAAAACTGCACATGCAGAGGCCCAATGCAGGTGACCCAGAGGGAGACCTGGGTGGCCAGAGCAAATAGAGGGGGCAGGTGTGAGGTCCCTGTGGAAGACCTTCATCAGTGGGGAGATTTGGAAAGGTTCTGACAGGGGATAGGGATGCAGTACACATGTCAGAAAGCTCTCCCAGGGCCCCTGTGAGGAAGGGGGTGGGGCAGCAGGGAGCTGAGGCCCCTGGAATGATCTGAGCACATAGGGGGCCAGACTGGTGGGGACATACATTGGTGAGAGACAGAGGGTTTGGGGAGGGGTTCTTGGGCTGATGTCAATGGGTTCAGGGTTGGAGGAGGGAAAGGGGGCCTGCGTTCTGATGCTGTACAGGTTGTTGCAGCTCATGCAGGAGTCAGTGCCAGTATAGCAAGGAGGAGGGCTGTGGGGAAGCCACCCCTCAGAGACAAATAGGAAGGCTGTGGGGAAGAAGTGGGGCCCTTACCTCGCTGCAGACACAGTAACGATGCTGAATCCCCAACAAATCCAGCCCAGGTCCGTGAACTTGAACCAGGCACTGACCTCCCAGCAGGCCATGGAGGTCCCTGTGAGGCACAATTCGGGCTGTATTGTCACTGGTTGGGCTATGAGTCACTCCAGATGCTGGCCGCACTACTACCCAGAGGGCCACACCCTGGCTCGGGCTGCTGACTGGCTAGGATATGTGTGCCAGCCTCCCTGGTCCTCCTCCTGCAGAATGGAGAGTCGTGTGTGCAGCTCAGATGCCAGCCAGGTATGGGACCAGCTTCCTGGGTCCATCCTGAAGTCCTCTTGTCCTTGGGCAGTTGTTGCAGTAGGAAGGAGGGTGGTCTGCCTTTTTTGTCCCTCCCCATCCCCGCCACTGGACTTCCATGTCTCCGCTGGTCCTTGGTGCTTGTTGCATTTGTAACAGGTGCATTGCTATGCTTGCTGCAGGCCCGGTCCTCAGCACCCAATGGAAGCAGCAGTCCGTGGAGATGTCCCTTGGTCAGGGTGTGGAGAGGAAAGAAAATTCTGTTTAGTTCTGCTGGGAACTTTCTGGAACCTGCACCCCTCCCCCCACAACATATCCCTGGTTAGGGCAGGCAGCATCACAACAGGGGTCACCCTGGAGTGTCTAGGCTGCTCAGAACCATCTACCCCCTCCTGTTGGATCCCAAAAACCCAGAGTTGGCAAGGAACTCCCTTTTTTCTGCCCATGGCATTGATAAGAACACTGGGTCCTCGATGTGTAAAACAGTGTGTACCCCAGCCCCTCTGCCCACTGTCCCAGGCCACTGTTCTAGCCCCAGTCTGTGAAGCCCCTTTATCCTTGGCTGCTGTCTGCCATCTCTAAAGGCTGCTATTAGGAGAGGAAACCCTGGAGGCCCCCCTGGCCCAAGCATGGAGAGGTCTCTTCTTCTGTGACCTCCCAAACTTGTTTCTCCAGCTGGCTTCCCCAGGCGTGCCCAGGAGCAGCAGTGGGCTCAGCGCCTACAACTTCTTCCGTGGGCAGGTGCATGCACCATGTGCTTACCCAGTCAACCTGCAGATGTGGCTAAGATTTCTCAGGCTGCCACTTGTGCCTGGATGCCCCTGCATCCTGGGGACAAGGCAGCAACACATGTACGCCCTTCACAGGTCAGAGTGTGTCAGCAGAACTGTAAGCTATTACAGAGTCACCGAGGCCCTCAAGCCAAAGGGCTGGGCAAGTCAGAGCTTGTGGCCAGCTAAGTTGGTTGTCACTGTAGTCTCAGCTCAGCTGAGCGAGCAGAGGGAAGGGGGGCAAGCAGTGTGAGCCCAGACAGAACTGAGCACCCACTGCCTCAGGTATGGGTGAGCAGCCACCAGAGTTGTTTTAGTATCCACACTTCAGCCCCCCAACCCCTGGGCACCTGCAGGCCATTGAAGGGAGGCAGGGTCCAGCATGGAGTAGCCTGTCCCATGATGCAGTGGTGGGGGGGCAGGGACAGGCCCCAGCAGTGGCTGGGCCTTCTGGCAGGCACACAGCATCTCCCTTAGGGTTTCCTGACAGTCCTAGAGGCTGGGCGCTGTGCTTGGGCTCCATTAGCAAGAAAGGGAATCAGCTCAGCCAGACACCTCTGGTTACAGGGAGCCCGGTCTGGAGCTAGCTCCCTTGCCCTGGTTATCTATATGCGCCTGCAGCTGGGGAGGGTGAGAACATGTTCAAAGGGTGGTCATGTGGCAATGTGGCAGGTGTGTGTGCGCGCTCCATTGGCAGGTGCACACATGTGATGTGTGCCTGCATGCATGGTATTCATGCATGGTTGTGCACACAGGTATCTGTGCTTGTCTGGGTGGTATGAGCATGACTGTATGCCTGCATGTGATATGGTGGCAGCCTGCCTCTCCCCATTGTCCAGCTGGTGTCTCTTCCCACCCCCATCCTGGGAGCCCACTCTGCAGGTGTAGAGAGCCCCCTGCACTGAACACCTGCCAACCGGGCCTCTGCTTGGCAGTGGTGACTCCTAGGCCCTGAAACACCTCTCTGCATTCCCTCTTCTCCCTTGAATACCTCCCAGCAGTGAGAACAGCCACGTTGCTCAGAGCATGGATGAAAGATGCTATGTACAGGAAACATATTTACAACCAAATTTACCTAGAACTCTACAACAGGCCACTGGGAACTAGCTGCATGTCAGAAGCCAGGGTCCTGGATGCCCTTGGTGTGGGTTTGCAAGGGGCATGAGGAGGCTTGTGAGTGTTGGCCCTGTTGACCTTTCTTGGGCTGGAGTTCCCTTCCCAGGTGGGCCACCTTGTCACAGGTCACTGGGGCATTCACACAGGGGTCAGGCCCTCTGCTGTGAAACCTAAGCCCCACTGAATTCCAAAGATAGCAGATGCTAGCAGATGCTCGGCCTGTGAAATCTCTTCACCAAGACCATGTGTGGTTCCCCAAACCCTCACCACTCCCCATCCCCTTTCACAAGGCCGGGAGAAACTGTGCGCCTTGCCCAAGACCACCCTTTGCCCCTCTACTGAACCCCATCCTCTTCCCACCCCCCAACCCCATTCCCCCCCACCCTGTCGTGCTGACACACCTCCTGCTGGCCGTCCCCACAGTGTCGCGCTTCTCCAGCCCACGCCTGACCCCCCGTCTGAGCCGCAAGCGGGCACTGTCCATCTCCCCGCTGTCGGATGCCAGTCTGGACCTGCAGCGCATGATCCGGACCTCGCCCAACTCACTGGTGGCCTACATCAACAACTCACGCAGCAGCTCGGCGGCCAGCGGTTCCTACGGGCACCTGTCAGCCGGAACGCTTAGGTGAGCCAGGAGCCTGGCTGGGGCTGGGGGAGAAAGGCTCACATTGGTCAGTCGGTTCATAACTGGCAGCAAGAAAATGAATAGGTACCTGCACTTCTTCAAATATGCATGGTCGGTATTGACATCAGGGATGCTCCGGGTCAAACATAGCTCCATTCCCCTTGTATCGCACCTGGTATGATGGAGTTGTCAGCATCGGGCCTCATGACATGTGACATCAACGTGGGCTCATGACCCAAGTAGGGCACCTGCCTGACAGCCAGGCTTGCACATGCACACCCCTCAGCCTGCTTTCCAGCAAGGGTTCCAAGCCCAGAAACTCATATCCTGTCCCTACCCCTCTGCCAGAGGCAAGGAGGGGCCTGCAAAGTCCAGAATTTGACCCTGGGACCCTGAACCAAGTAGAAGCGATCATGAGCATCCCATAATATATCCCACCAAATAACACTTGGCTCCTGCATTTAGCAGTTGCAATCAGCAAGCTCAGGCCATCTCCAAAGTCAGGAACTTGAGCTTGGCAAAGTCCCCGAGTCTCTGGGAATCGGGCTGTTGGCCAGAGGGAGGCTGGACTGGGCTGGGTGTGCGAGCCTGTCTGGATGACTGTTCGAGTGTGCTCACTGCATGGTGGCCCTTGTGTGATGCAGGAAGTCTGCTGAACACCAAGTGATCCCTACACAAGTGGTAGCACTGGGCCAGGAAGTGCAAGAGAAGTTAAAGAGGGGAATGATGTGAGGGATCGAGGCAGGGGAGGAGCCAGGATTTGGAGAATGAGGTAGAAGCTGACATCTGCTAGGGTGAGCCTGCCCAAGTGCAAGCTGGATCCCGGGTCAGAATCTAGGAGCTAAGCATGGGATATGCTTTCTTCTTTTTATTATTTAAAGACACAGAGAGGTTGTGAGGGAAAGAGAGAACCTTGCTTCCGCTGTTTCACTCTTTCAATGTCTGCACCAGCCCTAGCTAGGCCAGACTGAAGGGCAAGGCTATGTCCCCACCCGGGTCTCCCATTTGGTGGCAGCCACTCAAGTACGTAAGCCCTCATCCATGACCTCCCAGGGTGTGTATTAACAGGAAGATGGATTGGAAGCAGAGGAAGTAGACCTCAAACTAACACTGCCCTGTGAGCTGCAGGCATCCCAGGTGGTGACTGAAGCCGCTGCACTGAACACCTGCTGCTGCCAGTTCCTGAGTGGGCTAAAACCATGGTCCCAGAGGCCCTGGCGGCATGCTCAGCCTGACCCCACTGAGCAAGCAGGGTCATCTACTCTGCCCAGGAAGCCTCAGCCTGATGCAGTCCCCTCCCCCTGTCTGCTCTCCATTGCAGCCCAGCCTTTACCTTCCCACACCCCATCAACCCCGTGGCCTACCAGCAGATCCTAAGCCAGCAGCGGGGCCTGGGATCAGCCTTCGGACATACGCCACCCCTGCTCCAGCCCTCACCCACCTTCCTAGCCCAGCAGCCCCTGGCCCTCACCTCCATCAACGCCACTCCATCCCAGCTCAGCAGCAGCAACTGTGTGAGCGACAGCAGCCAGGTAGGTGGGCTTCCCAGCCAGCCAAGCCCCTGTAAGTGGCATCTCGTACCAGACACTGGTGGGAGGAGTCTGGCTTTGGATCTGGGCTTGACCGTGGCCAGCTCCCCCAGCTCCCCACCAACCCCCTTGGTTCTGCCTGGTTGACAAGTAGCTGGCGAAACATTGCACCGCAGACCAGGTGAATCAATGAGTAAATGAATAAATCAGTGAATGAACAGTATCATGCAGTTCAGTGCCAAACAAGAGTTTACTGCATGTTTTCATGCTGTCTCGTGTGACATTTCCAATGGCCTTGGCACACGTGGCACATGCTGGCTGCCATCTATGGCGGCCAGGAATGAAGTCCAATTTTGCAGATAAGGGCTTAGGAGGGCACAGGCCACATTCTGGATCCTGACCTGCCCTGAGTACAGCCGGCTTCCGGCCCCCTCGCAGGCTGAGCCCACTCCCCAGTGCCCCAGTGGGCTGCCATTGGAGATCAACTCATGGACATGAGAGTTTATGTGTGCAGACCCTAGCAATGCACCTGGGTCCCTGTGCAGCAGCCAAGACCACAATACCAGGGGGGAAGCTGCCAACCCGGGCTGCCGTGGCTCATGGCAGACTCCACATTTTAAGCAGACACTGCAGGGTTTAGCTGCATCCCCTACCTGCAAGAAGGACAGGTGCCTGTTCCCGAGTACCTCCTCAGACAGTCACAGCGGGGTTGGGTTTTGAAGTGCCGGCCGTTACTGCAGCTCTAGCACTTCCCCCTGAGGACTCAGGGCTGCCCCGTGTCCTAGGGAGAACCTTTGACGTTGATCTGGGGAGGTGGCATGGGCAGCTGGGGACTGTACTCCTTCCTGGGCATGCGTTCCTTCCTGGTCTGGCCCTGGCCCGACAGCCCGTCTTCTGCACCCTCATTCAGAACAAGCAGAGCAGCGAGTCGGCCATGAGCAGCACCGTCCACCCCATGGCCATTCACAAACGCAGCAAGGTCAAATCCGAAACAGAGGGCCTGCGGCCAGCTTCGCCGCTGGTGCTGACACAGGTAAGCTGATGACCGGCTACAGGCCCCCCAGAGCTGGGGGAAGACTGGCTGCGGCTGCCTGAACAAGTGAATGAAGGAATGAAAGAATGAGTGAGCTTCTCTGTTCCCAGCTCCTGGTGTGCTCCATGCTTATCAGCCATGTGCTGAATAAATAAATGAATGCATTTGTCTTGGGTCTCAGTCACCTGTGCCAACATCTCACCTTCGGGTAGCACACACCTGAGTCACTGGTGTCCCCTGAATGTCTCAGGCCCCCCCAGGCTGCAACTCCTCCTTTTTTCCCGGCTCAGCCTCCAACTGGATCCTAGCTGGTACCCCACCTGTCCCACATCCCCAGCCTAGCCCCACCCACTTCCGGACACATGCTGCAGGCATGCCCATCTCCTGACCCCCGCCACCGTGGCTTGGTGGCATTTCAAAGAGAGAGCTTGCTTTGGGAGAAGGAGATAATTGGGGCTCCTTGTCCCCACCTTGGGGTTTGCACAAGACCCAGCCTGCAGCCAATGTGAAATGAGGACATGAGTGGCACAGTGAGATGCAAAGAGGAGGATGGTGATGAGGGAAGCAAGAACTTGGTGCAGATCTGTCTTAGGAGAAATCATGACCCTTGGCCAATCATGATGTGCCTGCTGCCTTTGAAGGCCGCTCTCCTGTCCATCCCCCAGGGCCCCAAAGCCTGGCCAACTCTCAGCCACAGCTGCCAAAGTTCCAGCTTGATGCCAAAGCTGCCCAAATCCTCCTGTCCCCTGTGTCCCCTGCACCTGCCAGACCAACCTTGACCGAGAGCGCACACCACCAGGCATGCTCTGAGAACTTCATTTTGGTGAATTATTGGATCCCATCACTGTCAGGCAAACAGAGGACTCGGTGACATGTTTCCCAGGCTCGGCGTGACGCATGGCTTTCACGGAGCTGGCCATCATCCACTGCCATAGAAATTGATGAGGACAGCACATCCTATCCTGGAAAAATAAGCATGCCGGAAACCGTGAGGACAGGGCCAGAGGCAGGCACGTTGAGCAGCCCTCCCAGCTAGGGGGGCCTACCGAGTCCTCCTTCTCGCCCAGGTCAGGCTCTGTTTGTCACGAGCAGCTTGTCTCTGTGTCACTGCCCTGATGGCTTGAGCAAGGACTCTCTGCCTCAGGGTTCCGCAGGCATGGTTGCAGCATCAGCAGGGAACACAGTGAGGTGAATCCCTTTTCTGCAACCCTGGCTACGATGGTGCTCTGTCCACCTGTTGCAGCAGGTGTCAACTGAAAGTGGGGCCCACAGCACAGAGAGGGTTCTTCTGGTTTCGGGTTTTCTAAACATGCAGAGAGGGCACATGTCCAGGCCCTCCTGTTCAACCTCACCATGGTCTCAGTCCGGTACCTCCCCTGCAAATCGGAGGCTCCTGTTCCGAGCCAAGGGTATAGCCATGGGTCTACTCCCTGGAGGAGAGGAAATCAGGAGTGTGCAATTTCACTTTACAAAGAGAACAGATGAGGTTAATTGTGGAAGGATCAAGTTCAAGCCTAGCATCAGGCATGCTGCCCAGCAGTTAAGATGCTGGCTAGGATACATGCATTTCATATCAGAGGACCTGGGTTCGAGTCCTGACTCCCACTTCTGATTCCAGTTTTGTGTTCATGTGCACCCTTGGAGGAACAGGTGGTGACTTAAGGAATTGGATCACAGCTACCAATGTGGGAGACCTGGATGGAGTTCCCAGCTCTTGTGCGTACTTACCAGCAGATGGGAACACTACCATTCTCTCTGTTTTCCCCACATCTTGAATAGATTTTTGAATTTTTAAAAGACTTGTTTATTTGAAAGACAGAGTTAGAAAGTGAGAGATCTTCCATCTGCTGGTTCACTCCACAGATGGCCGCAATGGCTGGAGCTGAGCTGATCCAGAGCCACAAGCCAGGAGCTTCATCCGGGTCTCCCACACAGGTGCAGCAACCCAAAATCTTATGCATCCTCTGTTGCTTCCCAGGGCACATTAGCAGAAGCAGTGCAGCCACGGCTTGAGCTAGAACTCTATAGGGAATACAGGTCACAGGTGGCAAGTTAGCCTGCTTTACCATGGCACCAGCCCCGGTATGGAATGGGTGTGCATGGGCATGGCTGTACCCAGGCATGCTGTGTGTCCCCAAGGCAGAGAAAACAGATCAGTCAGAATTCCAAAGGACCAGAGGCCTGCTGGGTGGCACTCACCTCCAGGCCTGTGTGCAAGCCTTGAATGATACACAGGAACACACCCCACCCCGGTGTAGAAGGACATTGTGACCCTAGAAGGTGAAGGAGCACAGATCACTATTGATAGGATAATATTTGTGTGAGAACAACAGAATGGATAACATTTGTGTAACCGTTTGGATGTCATTTGTATGAGAACAACTGAATGGATACCTTTTGTCTAACTAAATGGATATCATTTGTGTGAGAACTACTGAGTGGATAGCATGTGAATGAGAACGCTTGGTGGGACATACAAACAAGAGTTCCAAACAAGGGTATGGGAACAATTGATGGGTTCCGTAGATAAGTTCAGTACCTCCTCCCTTATCCTATATGACCCTCGGTCTATAAAGTCTGATGCCACTAATAAACGTTGGCTTTTCGACCATCAGTCAGAGTCCATGTGTGTTATTCTAGGCTCCGTGCACCACGTCCATCACTTCAGGACAGCGACACCCTGGCTCCCTGCAATGAGAGCCAACTGCCATCATCCCTGCCTTCTTTCTCCAGTTCTAACTGATCACTAGATCCAAGATGCTGGGGAGTAACAGGCCCAGGATTATAGGAGGGAGAAGGTATGGCCAGTATGGGCACAGCAAACTAAACTGTCACCTGCAACATCCCATAGGGATACCAGATAAGTCCTCGCTGTTCCACTTTCCATCCAACTCTTTGCACATAGTCTGGGAAAGTAGTGGAGGATGGCCCAAAGCCTTGGAACCTTGCACCTGCATGGGAGACCTGGAAAAGCTGCTGGCTCCTGGTTTCATCCTGTTCTGATCCTGGCCATTGTAGTCATCTGGGCAGTGAACCTGTGGATGAAAGCATGCTCTCTCTCTGTAACTTGGCTTTCAGATAAATAAAATATATATATTTTTAAGATTTATTTATTGGAAAGATCCTCCATCCGCTGGTTCACTCCCTAAGAGGCTGGAAAGGCCGGAGCTGAGCTAATCTGAAAGCAGGAACCAGGAGTTTCTTTCAGGTTTCCCACATGGGTTCAGGGTCCCGAGGCCTTGAGCCATCCTCAACCACCTTCCCAAGCCACAAGCAAGAAGATGGATGGGAAGCGTAGCCCACCAGGATACGAACCGGTGCCCACATGGGATCCCGGCACTTACAAGACAAGGATTTTAGCCAATAGGCTACCGTGTCAGGCCCATAAAATATTTTTTAAAAGAGGATGGCAGAGAGTCTGGAAAGCTGTTGGACAAAAAGACCCATCAGCAAAGAGCTGTGTGTGTGTGTGTGTGTGTGTGTGTGTTCATGTGTGTGTGTTCATGTGTGTGTGTTCATGTGTATGTTTGTGCAACATGTACATCTGTACCAACCTGTGCCGCCAGTGGTCCCCGCCACAGCCTGACCGCACCGCATCTTCAGGGCTGGGGACTTGATGCAGCTCACATGGACCTGTACTTCTTCACCAGGAGCAGCTGGCTGACCTCAAAGAAGACCTGGACAGGGATGAGTGCAAACAGGAGGCCGAAGTGGTCATCTACGAGACCAACTGCCATTGGGAAGACTGCACCAAAGAGTATGACACCCAGGAGCAGCTGGTGCACGTAAGCCTGGGCCCCAGCCTCTGCACAACGGGTGCCCCCTCTCTGTGTCGAAAAGGGCAGATGTCCTGAAAAGAGATGAAAAGAAAAATAGGTCGATGAGGAAATCAGAGAAAGGAACAAGAAATGGAAGCCAGGAATTGTTTTAGAATCCAAGTACACACACATACCTTTTTGCTCTGTGAGCTTCCTAGCCACCCATGCAAAGAAAGAAATGAGTTTAACCATCCAACATTCAGAAGATCACAACAAAATCTGACTGAAACCTGAAAGAGATTTCTTCCATGCAGAAAAGACTGCAGGGTTCATGTGTACATAAGGAGTGTGCCTGGCATGGAAGGTCCCCCCAGCTGGCTGAACCAGCCTCCCTTTCTCCCAGGGATGCACTGTCCTGCACAGAGGGATCCACAATGATTATCATGCTTGGTCATGCTCATGAGCACTTAGGAGATGGCAGGTGTTTGGTACCTGGTAGCTCTCTCCCTCCTCCTCTTCCTCCTCCTCTTTCTTCTCCCCGCTCCCCACACTGCCCTGGGTGGCTCTTCTCCATCTGCAGAAGAAGGGAAATTGAGGAAGGCCCCTGCACCAGCACCCCCGAGAGCATCAGTGTCCGCAGAGAAGCCACTGAATGTGAAACTGTGTTGCTGGGAAGGTCAGACAGGCATTTGCACATGCCTATATGCGTATGCACACGTGCACACACACATGTTCAGATTCAGAAGTCATCCCAAAGGGATTGACTTATCCACAGTCTGGGAACCGAGCCTCCAGGTTATGCCAGCTGCGCTCCTCCTGGCTGCATGTATGACTGGGAGGTGGCCCTTTTTTTTATTTTTTTATTATTATTTTTTTATTTATCCCCTCCCCCCCCCAGTTGAGCCTCATCCCAGGAAATCAAAATTCCCCTGCAATCCCAGTGCAGCTGACGCCAGAGCTGGGAGTAGGGGGCGGGGTCTCGCCTCGTATTCCTCTTCAAGATAAACAGTGGGGGGACAGGGCAGCTGGAGCTGGGAGCTGTAGGACAAATCATCTCAAAAACCAGGGCGGGGAGGATGTGGGTTTGCCCCAACAAACGGGCAGAGAATTTCTCAAAGGCCTGGGGGCCCCAGCTTGGGAAGGAGGTCTGTATACATTTTTAATGTATTTATTCGAAAGGTAGCGAGTCAGTCAGACTGAGCTCCCTTGCACTGATTTCATTTCCCTAAAATGGCCGGAGCTGGGATCCAGGAATTCACTCTGTGTTTAGGGCATGGGTGGAAGAGACCACTTCAGCCATCACCATCTGCTGCCTCCCAGGAGCTGTACTGGCAGGAAGCTGGAGTCAGGACCCGTAGCTAGGAATCCTACAAGGGTGTCCCAGCTGACATCTTAACCCCTAGGCCCCAACGATGCCCAAGAAGGAGGACCTTGGCAACAGGCCACATTGGCCTTATGGCTATAGGCAGTTCCCCTGACCTGGTCCTGGGATGAGTAGACTCCTTGATGAGAAGAGAGTGGGCCCCTTTGCCAGCTCTCTCTCTCTCTCTCTGTTCACCTGACGGCCCAGGCACCCATGTGAACAAGAGCTCCTTATTGATTGCCAACAATGTGTTGCTACGTCAACGAATAAGGCAAAAATGAAAATAATGAAAGACATTATCAGGAGGCATTCTGATCACTTGAACGGCTTTCATCCTGGAAAGGGAGGCTCATGTGGAAGTTCCAAATGCTGTAGATTCTGCCTGCTGTGGTAGTGGTGGTTGTGTTTGTGGCACCTGGCACAGCACATGGCACTCAGCTCTTGGAGTACCTGGTGGGTGGCAAAAGTCCCTAGCAGCATGGCCTGGTAAAAAGAAAGCACACACCACAAATGCCAGCTGTGCATGCAATTTTACATCTGCAAGCCTGTGTTCAGTGCATTGATTTGTTTGAAGTATCTAGACCGGCTTCTGCTGCTTTCCCACATACTTTAACAGGGAGTTGGATCAAAAATGGAGCAGTCAGGACTCCAAGCTGGTCTCCATAAGAGATACCACCGTGCCAGACCCTGGAAGCACAGTTCTAAACCAGTAAATAAGAAACAGATGAAGTTCATTTTAATATGTTCTGCATCAACCATGTATGTGAAATGTGGTCCACCGTCTGTCTTGGAGTCTTCCACCTTCAGGGGTTTCATTGCCTATGGATCAAAAAGACACAGAAGAAAGAAAACGCTGCATTTTTACTGAGCATGCTCACTTTCTGTTGTAGCTTTAAGCAGTACACTGTAACAACTGTTTACATGATATTGACATTGCATTGGCTATACTAAGTCATCTAGAGGATGTCAGGTGTCACAGCATCTTAGAGAAAGCCAGCTGGGGGGGGGCTGGGACCTCTCTAGCACAGAAGGAACATCCCAGCTGGCCCATGAGGACCACACCTACCCCAGGGGAACAGGACTCTTCCTAGGATGCTATGGAGTCAGGTGAGCTCTCACACTGGCTGTCTCACCTCATTGTCCTGGGTCATCCTGTCTTGGCCTCCCACAATACCCAGAGCCTACCATTAGGGCCAGAAACTAGCCCCGTCCACCCTTGGGTGCGGGCCCAGAACTCCACAGGCCTGTATGAAAAGGATACAATGCCATCATCTCCTGGCTTGATGACAGACTCAGAGACAAGGATGCCACTGGTTTTCCCTTTTTACAAAAACTTGGATTTAAAAATGTCTCAAGCAAGGGTGGGACTTGGCCTGATGGTTAAGGCACAGTTAACATGCCTGCATCCCATTACTCAGTGCCTGGGTTCACGTCTTAGTTGTGGCTACTGACTGCGACTTCCTGCTAAGGTAGGCCCTGGGAAGCAGTGGTCAGACCCCCTGCCATCTACATGGGAGAGCAGGATTGTGTCCCTGGGTCTCAGCTTCAGACTGGCCACTGTGGGCCTTTTGGGAAATGAGCCAGTGGAAAGGGGTGTTCCCTCCCTTTTTCTCTCTGTTCTATCTATCTATCTATTGTTAGACAATAGGGGCATACTTAGGAGAGGTTTCTTCTGCACCCCTGTCATGCATACATCTGCTTCAGTGTAATTAATTAGTGCCTGCTGTTTGCAGCCACCTCCACTGACCAGAGCCCAGCCTGCAGGGAGGGGAGTGGGGGGGTCAATACCATTGACCTTTGTAGGAGGTCACTTTGATGACCAACCGGGAAATGCAAGCAAGGCAGGGAGCACAGAGACTTGCGAGTGAACAGTGACTAATGAGAACTCACGGGACAGACGTGGCCTGGCACCCAGAGGTGATGCCACTGGCTCGGTGGTTTGCACGGAGTAGGGATGATGAGCAGCAAGGGGGTGGGGGGTCAGCAGGGTGGTGGATGGCACACATGGGTCTCGGGCTCAGCCTCCTGGGGCTTGTCCATCCCACAGCACATCAACAACGAGCATATCCATGGGGAGAAGAAGGAGTTCGTCTGTCGCTGGCAGGCCTGCACGCGGGAGCAGAAGCCCTTCAAGGCACAGTACATGCTGGTGGTACACATGCGGCGGCACACGGGTGAGAAGCCACACAAGTGCACGGTGAGTGTCCCGAGCCCCCCGGTTCACACTTGGAGCTGGCGTACGCACAGGGCCTAGGGTCGGCGAGACCCTAATGAGTGGCCAGAGCGAGGGTGAGGAGAGCTGCTATTTCTGCTTCCCTCTTTGTACTTTTTAGGGTTTTTTTTGCAAGCTTTCTAGAAAGCACAGAAAATTCTGATATTCTTTAAAAATTAAAAAAAAAAAAAAGCTAAAATGCTGCTTCTGGGTGTACCTGTGGGCTGGGGCCATGAGAGGAGGGACGGGCATGTCCACAAGGTCAGGCCCCTGAACTGGCCGTGGAATGTGCCTGTGACCAAGCCTCGCCTCCTTGCAGTTCGAGGGCTGCTCCAAGGCCTATTCTCGTCTGGAGAACCTGAAGACGCACCTGAGGTCCCACACCGGGGAGAAGCCGTACGTGTGTGAGCACGAGGGCTGCAACAAGGCCTTCTCCAACGCCTCGGACCGTGCCAAGCATCAGAATCGCACTCATTCTAACGAGGTACCCATGCTGCCACAGCAAATGCCAAGCAGATGCACAGCAGCCACCTGCACCCTGGGGATGGATGGGGTGTGGGTGCCCGATGGTGCTGCTGCTGCTGCTGCCCAAGCCCTCTGTCTCCTCAGGGGTAGGGAAGTGAAGCCAGAGCCCATGGTGCCAGGTGTACCTACCTGTTCTCCCGTTGCACTCACACCATTGCACTCAGGCAGCCTCGACAAAGAGTATTTCCCAAAGTTCAGCCACAGTCTGGACCTCAAAGGGGCTTGGCTCTAGAGCTTATAAGATATGAGAGAAATCTCCCCCAAAGCTTCTGAGACGGAGGAGGTCTCTGCAGACAAGAACCAGCCAGTGTGTGTGTGTGTGTGTGTGTGTGTGTGTGTGTGTGTGTGTGTGTGTGTGTAGGGTTATGTAGGAGCTGACGATTGAGCCATCCTCAGTATATCTCGTGACCTGGTAACTTGGAGCAGCCTCGTTTTCCTCCCTGAGCCAGCCTTTCCTCATCAGACACCAAGGGCACTGGCACCATCTCACCAGGGAGCCTGAGCTCTGTGCACAGCTCCTGGCCACTGGGGAGGCAGCGTTGTGATCACACAAGGCACCTTGTGTACCCCTTGCTCGAGCACCCTTCTGTTCTGTGTCACCAACTTCTCATGACACAAGGTCCCTTGTCCACGCATTTCCCTAACTGAGAAGGCAGCACCCCAAGCTGGCCTGGCCCCATCCTTAGGGTACCTACTGCAAGTACAACAAAACCCTTGCCAAGCATGCCAGCCAGGCTCTGCCTAAGACGTGGGGAAAGAGGACTCGGCTACATTTGGGGTTTGCCCTCGTGTCCCTCTTTGTGACATGAGACCTGCTTCTCTTCCTAGAAACCCTACATCTGCAAGATCCCGGGCTGCACCAAGAGGTACACAGACCCCAGCTCTCTGCGCAAGCATGTGAAAACAGTCCATGGCCCCGACGCTCACGTCACCAAGAAGCAGCGCAATGACGTGCACCTCCGCACCCCACTACTCAAGGAGATTGGGGACAACGAGGCCAATGGTGGCAGCGGTGAGCCGGGCAGCCGTGGGCCCGAGGAGAGTGCCGAGGCCAGCAGCAGCAGCCAGGCCATGGAAGACTGCCTACACGGCAGAGCTATCAAGACTGAGGGCCCCGGGGTAAGCTGACACCAGGCAACCTTGTGGACCCCCCCTGCTCAGGGCAGTGGGAGACCCCTTCTAAGCCCCACCCCATGCCAACTTTGACTCCGTTCCATCTCGGCTTCCCCTGCCCCCTTCCTCATCTTGGGCTTCATGTGGAACCTACGCCATCAGGGTCCAGTCAGCTCTGACTCGGTTTCTCCTTTGCTACAGGGATGGGGACGCCCACCCCGCTGTGGGTAGGACAGTCCTCATGCACCTGTCACTCCAGCCAGCACCTGACCCCCAACCCTCTGTCCTGTCTGCATCCTGGCCCGTCCTGCCCCTGACTCCTGTCGTTCTAACCACCTGTTCTTTGTCTCTGCCTCTTTCCCCCCCTGACTGTACCTCCCCTAAGGATAGACGGTACTGAGGTGAGCCAAGGAGCTGACTGGGAGTGGGGTGGGCCTGGGCGTGTGTGTGTGTGTGTGTGTGTGTGTGTGTGTTTGTGTGAGGGTGGGCTGGGCTGCCTGTCTAGCCTTCCTGGGTTGCGAAGGTAGACAGAGAGCCAGAACTGCAGGGTAGGGTAGTTGGAACAAATAGAGGGACAGCCAAGGGAGTTAGGAACCTGGCTGCAGGAGGCGACGGTGTGGTGGGAGGTGTGAATTGGGACTGCAGAGGAATACAGACCTAGAAATTTCCTGTGCAGCCTGTGGCCTGATGGGGAGAAGCTTGTGGCTGCCCCAGGCCAAGGCTCGTATGTGGGGCTGTGGTAGCCGCAGCAGTGAGCCACACCCAGGCACCTGGGGCACAGGAGAAGCAGTCCAAGTTCTTTGTGCCAGCCTGCCCCTGGCCTGTTACACTCAGGCAAGAGTTGTTCCCCACAACTTGCCCTTCCGTGGTCACCATGTGCCTTGGCAATTCCTGACCTAGGCCTTGCCGGGCTTCTGTTGTTTCCCCATTGGTCAGTGCCCTCTTTGTACCATCCTGGGTGCCTTGGGCAAGCAGGTGCTTCCTCTCCAGCCACTCCCCTTGCTCAGGAGGCAGTGTGGGTCCACATCATGCACCCCACAGCTGGAGAGGCCAAGGTCAAGGGCAGGGAAGGGACCTAATGGGCTCCTCTCCAGCATGCAAGCGCTCTCTCTCTCTCTCTCTCTCTCTGTGAGTCCTCACCTTCTCCCCTTGCCTCCTCCGCAGCTGTGTCAGGCCAGCCCCGGGGCCCGGTCATCCTGTAGCAGCGAGCCCTCTCCCCTGGGCAGTGCCCCCAACAACGACAGCGGCGTGGAGCTGCCGGGGCCGGGGCCCGGGAGCCTGGGAGATCTGACCGCACTGGATGACACACTCCCCGGGGCCAATGCCACGGCCCTGGCGGCCCCCTCCTCCGCCACCACCGTGGGCAGCAGCCTGCAGCTGCGCAAACACATGACCACCATGCACCGTTTGGAGCAGCTGAAGCAGGAGAAGTTCAAGTCGCTCAAGGACTCCTGCTCCTGGGCCGGACCTGCTCCACACACCCGGAACACAAAGTTGCCTCCTCTGCCGGGAAATGGTAAGTGCAGAGGGCCTGGGATCACCCTAGCTAGTTAGGGTCACATATACCGTGCACTGGCCGCTCACTATAGAAATCATCTTACCTACCCACTGCACAGATACACAAACTGAGGCTTAACAGCAAATATGAGGCTTAACCAAGGCCTGTGTGTCCCCAGAGCTAAGGTATGCTCTTGGAGCTATTCATCCCCTAAAATCAGACACACCCTGCCCATATTGCCTTCTTCCTGCCAACGCTCTGGGCCAGCAACAGGCACCATGGCCAAGACCCCAGAAAGGAAAGCAGTGTAATCTCAGTCCAGAAAAAGGGTTAGGCTGCCATCCCGCCAGATTCCCTCACCCCCTGCAGAACTCTGTGGGGCAAAGAGAGAACAGGTCCAGCGGGAAGAGCAGGGAGAGCTTCCTGCAGGTGTCAGCCCTGTGCCCAGCGATTCAGAAGGCATCTTTGACAAGCATTGTGCTCAGCGTTGTTGGGCCTCAAACTGGACGCCCGCTGTGGTAGATGCTGCCATGCCCCACCCCCACTCTTGCTGGAAAGATAGATTTGCAACCTTGAACTCTTAGCCTCACCATGCGATCTTCCTCGCTCCATACACAGCCATCTTGCCCAAAGTGACCCTCCCAAACTCCTGCAGCTAGCGGATGCTCACTAACTACCACAGTGTAATGGTCAAGGCTGCTGGCTCTGACAGCCCCGGGGGGCTAGACCAGCAGCCCAGCCCTGCTCACCCCCTGCCCTGTAATTCAGTGCACTGCTTCTCAGCTGGAGAAACTGAAGTGGGCATAACCTGGCGTAACCTGGCATAACCAGGGCAGGTAGGCAGAGGGAAAGCAGCCTGGACCAACTCAGAGCTGCCTGCCTTCCCCACCCTTCACAATTGCTTGTCCCCATCAGACGTCAAGCTCTTCCCAGACGCCCTTCTTCCACTTAAAGATCATAATGGAGTGTTTACTGTGTGATTATTCTGAGGCTCTGTGGACTTTGTACACCCCGCAAAGGCAAGGCCCCCATCCCCAGGGACCGAGCTGACTGTGCACCTCCCACAAGCAGGGACCCTGACCCTCACAGGGTGGACTGGCTATGTGCACTCCCCTGCAGACAGGGCCCTTGGATCCCCAGAAACTAACCCTCCTGTTTCCCTACAGGCTCCATTCTCGATAACTACGGCAACGGTGGGGGCGGGGTGCCGGCCGGACTGCTGTCCAGCTCGCGGCAGCCCGAGCCAGGCGCCAGCGAGGTGACCATGCTGAGCCAGCTGCAGGAGCGCCGCGACAGCTCCACCAGCACCGTCAGTTCGGCCTACACAGTGAGCCGCCGCTCCTCCGGCATCTCGCCTTACTTCTCCAGTCGACGTTCCAGCGAGGCTTCACCACTGGGTGCCGGCCGGCCGCACCACGCCAGCTCCTCCGCTGACTCTTACGACCCCATTTCCACCGACGCATCACGACGTTCCAGCGAGGCCAGCCAGTGCAGCGGGGCCGGCTCAGGACTACTCAACCTCACGCCCGCCCAGCAATATAGCCTGCGTGCCAGGTACGCCGCGGCCACAGGAGGACCACCGCCCACGCCGCTGCCGGGCCTGGAGCGCATGAACCTGCGCACGCGGTTGGCGCTGCTGGATGGCCCTGAATGTGCACTGCCCGCCACCTGCCCGCGCCTGCTGGCGCCGCGCCGTGGCAGTGATGGACCAACCTACGGCGGGCATGGCCAAGGTTCCATGGGGGCTGCACCCACCTTCCCCCACGAGGTCCCCGGCGCCACCACCCGCCGGGCCAGCGACCCAGTGAGGAGGCCCCTGGATGCTCTGACACTGCCGCGGGTGCAGCGTTTCCACAGCGCCCACAACGTAAACCCTGGGCCACTGCCTCCCTGCGCTGAGCGCCGAGGCCTCCGCCTGCCAAGCCACCCGAGCACCACCGCAGACGGCAGCCTAGTTCACAGCGCCTACTCCCCTCGGCCACCTAGCATCAGTGAGAACGTGGTGATGGAGGCCATGACCTCGGGGGCGGACGGCACTGCTCCCGAGTCTGACCTGGGGCTGCCAGAGGATGACCTGGTGTTACCGGATGACGTGGTACAGTACATCAAGGCACGCACCAGGGGCGCTCTGGAGGCCAGCTCCAGGCAGGTGCAACCTTCGGAAAGCCCTGGCTTCTCCCACAGCCCCAAGCTTCCCAGCCCCGGGCTGCAAAGCCAACGCAGGCTAATGGCTGCAGACTCCAATGTGGGCCCCTCAGCCACTGGGCTAGGAGGCTGTCACCTGGGCTACGGGACCCCCTCCAGCCTCAACAAAAACAGCATGCCCGTGCAGTGGAACGAAGTTAGCTCAGGCACCATGGACACCCTGGCCCACCAGGCCAAGCCTCCTCCCTACCCAACCAACAACCTGGCCATAGTGCCACAAAAGGCAGCCTTTGGCCAATACCCAGGCTACAGCCCACAGGCCCTGCAGCCGAGGCCTGGAAACCTGGACAGCACCCAGTCGCACCTGCAGCCCCGCAGCGGTGCTGGAGTGCCTGCTGCAGCCAGGGTGAACTTTATGCAGCAGCAGCAGCTGCGACAGCCGGCCATGGGCAATCAGTGTGCCAACTTGACCTCCACTGGGAGTCCCCACACTGGTTATGCTCAAGGCCACTCCCAGCAGTTCTCATCCTGCAACAACATGGCAGCCAAGCCAGGCCACGTGGGGCTCCCTCAACAGATGGAAATAGCCTCTGCAGGCCCCATGGCACTGAGCAGCCACCACAGGGACCTTGGGGTCCCCAGTTCTTCCTTGGCTGGGATACCACCACCTCACGCAGCCCAGGGCTACCCACAACAAAGCCATCATTTGGGCACTTCCATGGACCAAGAGAGTTACCGCCAGGGCTCTAGCAGTCTCCTACCTTCCCATCAGCCTGGTTTCATGGAGTCCCAGCAGCTGGGTCCCACAGGAGCAGCTGCACCCAACTTTGGCCTCCTGCAGCCCCAGCCACCCCCAGAGCCCAACCCTGCTGGCCGCCATCGTGGAATGCGTGCCGGGCAGCAGCAGCAGCTGGCCTATGCCAGGGCTACCATGCCAGCCAACCAAGAACCAGCCGAGGCAGTGCCTAAGGGAGCGATGGGCTCAGTGCTGCCCCTGCCTCCTCAGGATACAGATGGAGCTCAGGACCTGCTCTACTACTATGGCCAGATCCACATGTATGAGCAGGATGGAGTCCCAGACGGCCCCCAGCAGTCCCAGCAGGCACAACCGCAGGCTTGCTCAGACAGCGTGCAGCCCCAGCCCTTGCCATCACCAGGGGTCGACCAGGTGTCCAGCACAGTGGATTCACAGCTCCTGGAGGCCTCCCAGATTGACTTTGATGCCATCATGGATGACGGCGACCACTCCAGCCTGTTCTCGGGAGCCCTGAGCCCCAACCTGCTACACAACCTCTCGCAGAGCTCCTCGCGTCTCACCACACCCCGCAGCTCCCTGGCCCTGCCTACCCTCCCCACGGGCTTCAGCAACATGGCCGTAGGGGACATGAGCTCCATGCTGAGCAGCCTGGCTGAGGAGAGCAAGTTCCTGAACATGATGACGTAAGAAGTGGGGTCGTAGATTCCCCCAGCTGCCGTGGCTTGGGGCTTCTGGCTGCCCCCTCTTCTCCCACCATAGAAGTATTTAAGGTGGCCCAAGGGCTGTTGGCTGCACCGGGTTGTCACAGAAGGTCTATCACAGGCATCCCCTCGGATTTTTTTTTTTGGATGATTTTGAAGATCGTGGAACAGAAATTTCCTGCACGGAAGCAAAGGACGCAAACCTTGCTTCTCTTGGTTTCTTGTCATTTGGGGCTCATGAGGGATTCCCAGGGCTTTCCTGGGACCCCAATGCAGGGCTGAGCCTGCAGGTCATCCCTGGAAATTCTGCTTGCGGAAACTCCCAGCCCACCTGCATTCTTGTAGGGAACTTGGCTCTAGAGGTAGAGGACTCTACCTGGGGATTGAATCCCAAAACACACCCCAATTCTGGAATTGGTAGAGCTGGCCTCTGTTTCCCTGCCTCCCCACTCCCCCAAGTGAAGCTGATTTTGGGATCCCAATGTGCATGAACGAGCAACCTATGGATATATAGCCAGAGCAAAGAGCAAGAAGCTGGGACCTTAAGGAGCAGCTGCAGTGGCTGCCCACTTCACTCGGTGTTTACAGTGTTCCTGCGGGAGGAATGCAGCCCTGGCTGGGCACGGTGCACTTGGTCTCCAAATACTTTGGGGGCTCTGGCCCAGGGATGGACTCCTGGCCTCAAGGGTGTTCTCGTGGTTTAGCCACACAAGCCACTCTGGAGGGCTGCCTGCAGGAAGAAGTCGCGTGTTTACCCACTCATGTTTCTCCAGTGCACTGTCTGCCCACTTTGCCAAGGGAAGAGCCGGGGCTTGACTGTAGCCTCAGCCCAGGTTCTTCCGGGCCCTACTGTGTGCGCCATTCCAGGCCACAGTACAATTCCCAGTGTCTCCCCGTCCACTGGCAGAGAAGGATGCTGTGCCCAGTATTTTGGGGACTCCTGGATGTTCTTACACCCCACCACCACCATCCCACCACCCTACCCCCACCTGGAAATGAACTTTAGAACTGGCTTCAGAAGACCTCATTCTGGAGCAGACCAGAGGTGGAACTGCCACGCCTTCCTAGAGCACCCCCCCTCCCATCCACATCCCCAAGGCTCTCATCCTGAGTTCACCACAGCCTTGCCATGCTCACCGCACTTGACCCTGACTTCAATGAGAACTCCTTAGGAAGGTCTGTGCACAGGGCAGGAAGCTTGGGATCTGGCACATCCAGCTTCTTGTTGGAGTCCAGAGGCGGCTCTGACACATGGCCGAGGCTCCGGGCTGGGGGGTCGACACATCCTGAGCTACGGTTGGACCTTCCCCCAGCCTGCAGATAACGTGTACAGACGACGCAGTCCCTGCAATATATACTGTCTGCCAGATTTATATCTCCAGAACATTTTAAGCTTTTTCTACATGCCATGGTCTGAAATGACATGCTCAACCTGTAAATAAGCCTCTTTTTTTGTACATTAAAAAAGTAATTTTTTCATAATTTGTCTTGTCTGTCTGCTTTTCGCTTGATGGTTGTTAATGAGAACCAAGGCAGTAAATTTGGTGTGTCTGAACAGAGAAGAGGCTATATATATATATATACTTTTTTTTTCTTCATGATGTCAAAATTGATAGCCACATTGGGGAAAAAAAAAAAAAATGACAGCCACATCTTAGCCAAGCAGTGGCAGGGGGTGGGGTGGTGCTGCCAAGGCCTTTCTTGGCTGTGGTGTGGCACTTTGGCCAGTCCTCTGGGCCTGAATGTCAAGGTGCTATGTCAGGTATCAGGTGAAGACAGCAATACTCTGGGTGCTCACTCCTGTACTTGGATGGAGTTCATTTGGGTCCGGGCAGGGTGGGAGTGTGGGATAGGGCATGCCCTCGGACAGGCAGGTGGCACCTCCAGTCAGCCTGGCAGGGGGAACCTCAGTCTAGCAAACTCCATGGGTCAAGGCCACTGCAGGACAGTCCCAAGGGAGGCATAAAGCTGAGTCTGGGCATCAGAGAAAGTTCTGGAACTTAAACAGAGAAGGCAGACCCAGGGCTTACTTAAGAGGATTGGTATGTACCTTCTACAGGAGCCTCTTCTTCCAGATATATAGCAGCCACAGCTTCCGTGGGGCATCACCTGACCGGGCACCTACTCAGCTCAAAGCCCGTCTAATGTCACGCAGTCAAGGGCACTGAAGAATGAGTGCAGGAAACTCCCATGGAAGGTGGGAGTTTGTGGTCTTCCTGGCCTCGCTCCCGTCTCCTCCCCACGGGGAGAATCACTGAGCAGGGGGTGGGCGGGGAACTTAGTGTAGGAGGTGACCCAGCCCTGCCCACTCTTCAACACGGTCACCCCTTCTGGGCTGTACTCGCTGCCCTGCTTTGTAGGGGGAGGGGAGGCTTAACGTCTTCCAGGTCTACCTGAAACCAGAGTCCATCACAATCACTCAGCTGATTCCATCACTACCCAGCTATATTGTACTACTTCCGCAGATGCTTGGCAACACCACAGGCAAACATTGGGCGGGCCCTGGGCTGGTGTGCGCTGATGGAGGCACCAGGCTCGGCTTATCTAGCTGGTTGGGTCGGACTGCTTAGTTCTGCCCCATGCAGCTTTTGTTTTCTTCAGATGAGCCTGCTGGCAAGCGCAGAGGCACAGGACACGCATACAACCGGGAGTTCTTTTAACTTCTTTAGATAAAAGACACAGTTACTCAGAGATCTTCCATCCACTAGTTCACTTTCCCCAAACCAAGAGCTTCATCCAAGTCTCTCTCATGGGTGCAGGGTTCAAGGACTTGAGCCACCCTCTTCTGCTTTCCTGGGTGCATTAGCAGGGAGCTGGATCAGAAATGGGGCAGCCAGGACTCCAAGAACCCAGTCCTCTCTTTACTGGGTTTGCTGGGGCTTCTTGGCTCTGCTAGCCAGGCTTCTCTTGCCCGGAGACCAGAAAATGGCTCAGCTGTCTCATGGTTGATGGCAGAAGCACAAAGCGTCTGCTGAGAACACAGGCAAGGCCTCTTTAGGCCTGGGCCAAGGACAGGAGTCAAGCCCCATAGCAGAGTCCCCACTCAATGAAACGCAGAAGTACAAGGAGGGGAGACAGGTCTCTGAACAGTGAACACCCCACATCCTGTAACCCAGGGTGAGGCTCCTGGACCTCTGCCTCAGTTCTGGGGAAAGCAGTAGGGAAGTTGGACTAGTTTCGTGTATCAGAGATATCTCCCAGCGCATTGTGTATGTGCATCTGTGCAGCCCTGTACCCAAAGACTACACGCTTGGGAAAGTTGACACCCCAACAGACAGCAGGAAGCAGGCAAGGAACACCAGGGCTTCCTCCTCTTCACTCATGAAGAAGTGGTTGCCACTGTACTCAACAACACGCTTAGGAACTGCGAATTGCCAAGAGCTGGTTAAGCCCAATGACCTTTGCTCGTCCACAGAAATCGCTTTCCAGGGTATCCTGTAGGTATACAGTGCCAAGGGCATGACCATCCAGGCTACTTGGTTTAGTGGCTTCCTGGCTAGAGAGTCATAAAAACTTTTGTGCATTTGGAATTGGCTCTGTAAGGTAAAGTACACAGTTAAGGGAATGGTATTGTGGAACAGTGGGTTAAGCTGCAGCCCGAAGCATGTGTCTCATACGGTCACTGGTTCAAGTCCCAGCTACTTCATTTGTGATCCAGCCCCCCCACTAATGCACCTGGAAAATCAGAAGAGAATGGCTTAAATCCTTGGGCCTCTGCACACACATGTGAGACCTGGAAGAAGCTCCTGCCTCCTGGCTCTGACTTAGCTAAGCCCCATCCAGGAAGTGAGCAAGCCAATGAAAAATTTCTAACACTGACTTTTAAGTAAATGAGTGTATCATGGTTTAAAAACAAAAAATAACACAGGTAAAAGTGGAGTTCCTCTGGCTGAAACTGGGAATAGGAGGCCTGGGACTCATAACACATTTCCTCTCCCAGCCATGGATCCCTAGAACAGCGTTTAAAAATCCTATAGCAACTTCACCCCCAAATGAGCCCAGAAGAGCTGTGAGAACATTCCTACTGGAACTTGAATGCCACTGTCTTAGAATCTTAGAAGTCAAGCTCTGGTCTCAAACCCAGGGTGGAAGGCGGTAGCAGGATCCAGAAGCATTCAGTGGTGTTTGCAAGGGAGTGTCTTGCCCGTGGGAAGATCTTGCTTCACTGGCAGGATGTGCACGGGGTTTTTGCAAGAGCCCTGGAGCATGTAAGGCAAGGACTTTAGCTGCTAGGCTACTGCGCCAGGCCTGATGCCATACCTTTCAAATGCACAAATTGTTTAATTTTAGTAGTGATGGCAGTAAAAAGGCCAGGAGCCAGCAGGAGAAAGAGGTGGCAATAGGGGTGAGAAGGAATGGTGAGGGGGCATGGACGGCCAGAGCTGGAGGGCTTTGCACTTCAGAGGAGTGGCAGCCTAGGCGTCCTCCTGGGCCCTGATGTTTCTCTCCCATCCCACATGCTATCTTTCAGGAAATCCTGAATTGAGGGAGTAACTAGGATGTGCTTGCGTTTCACAATCAGCCTCCAGGGTATACTGCAGGGGCCAGTTCCCAAGGAATGTGCCAGCTGTCAGCATGATGAATCCTCCAGGCAGGCATCACGTGAGAGGCTCTGGCTGTCCCCAGCAGGATGGCTGGTTGACCAGCTCTCTGCTCCTGTGCTGTATCCCTGTCGGTCCACGCGGCTGACCCCAGACTCCTACAAACTCATCTGCGTTCTTGTTGGATCAATCCCTTCCAGTCATCTCCTTCCGCCGCTTAGCATCTGTCCTGTGCTACTGGCCCAGCCAACCCAAGAGCCATGGCCCACAGCTCTCACTCAGATCCCATGTCAGTCATCCTCTTAGCGTTCATGTTGTCCCCAGGTGCACTGACTCCAGGCCTCTGCACTGGCCCTTCCTACTCTCGCTCCCCCCAGAGAGCCTCAAGACTCACATCTCACCTCCTTTTGGTCTTTGCTACTCTGATTACCCTTCCTAAAATGAC